GCCCCCCGTTTGCAGCCAGCCTTTGCCGAGCCCTAGAGCAGCTTTCACCAAATATGGAAGGTTTTTTTTGCCTCCGGTTTTCGGCACGCAGGCCGCGGCCCAAGAGCGCAGCTTTCCAGATGCTGAGGTCAGCCGCGCTCTTCTCCCCTCCTCCTTCTCCGCCACCTCCCGGCGCACTCGGCCCCGCACCCACTGGGCGAGGGGTAACGCCGACCCCCGATTCGTCAGCATCCCTGGATCCCCCGCCAGCGTCCTCCGCTGCTGGCACAAGCGGCACCCCGCAGCACCTCAAAAGCAGTAGTTATTGGGATTTTGGGGGGAGGGAAGCCAGGGAGAAGGGTGCCTGATGCTGGCACCCCTCGGCATCGCCGTTGGGTGCCAGCCTGGCACACGCGGGTAGGAGGTGCCCTGGGCGCTTGGTGGCATGGGGCGTGGATCCAGGCAAGGGGGGGGTGCAAGCAAACTTGGGGTACCCAGGAGGGTGCCAGCCTGGCACCCAGGGGGTGATGGGCACCAGGAGCCATTGAGCACCAGGAGGCGATTGGCACCCAGGAGCTGACGGGCACCCAGCAGCCGTTGGGCATGAGGAGCCAATGGGCATCAGGAGCTGAGGGGCACCAGGAGCCGATGGGCACCAGGAGCCAAGGGCACCTGAGAGCCAAAGGGCATCCAGGAACTGATGAGCACCCAGGAGCCAATGGGCACCCGAGAGCCAAAAGGCATCCAGGAGCCACTGGGCACCCAGGAGCCGATGGGCACCAGGAGCATATGGGCACCAGAAGCTGATGGGTGTCCAGGCCTCCATGTGGACCCAGAATTCCAGGGGCAACAGAAGCCGAGAGGTACCCAGGAGCCAAAGGGCACCCAAGAGTTGATGGATGCTCAGAAGCTGACGGATGCCCAGGAGCTACCCTGGAGTCCGTGGGCACCCAGGAGCTGATGGGCACTAGGACCTGGCAACACCAAGGAGCTTATGGGCACCCAGAATCCAACAGACACCCAGGAGCTTATGGGCATCCAGAGTCCATGGGCACCTAAGAACTGATGGATGGCCAGCATCCAACAGGCACGCAGGAGTCCATGGACACCCAAAAGCCAACGGGCACCCAGAGTGCATGGGGATGCAGGAGTTGATGGATTCTCAGGATCCAGCAGGTACCAGGAGTCCATGGACACCCACAAATCCACAAGCAACCACAAGATGACAGGCACCCAGGAGCTGATGGGCACCCAGGAGCCAACAGGTACCAGGAGTCCATGGGCACCCGGAAATCCACGAGCATCCAGGAATTGACGGACACCCAGGAGCTGATGGGCACCCAGGAGCCAACAGGTACTAGGAGTCCATGGGCACCCACGAATCTACAAGCACCCAGGAGCTGATGGACACCCAGGAGCTGATGGGCACCCAGGAGCCAACAAGTACCAGGAGTCCATGGGCACCCACAAATCCACAAGCATCCAGGAGCTGACGGGCACCCAGGAGCTGATGGACATACAGGAGCCAGGAGCCCCAAACAGCCAGTGCCGTGCCCCTTCTCATGCCCCCCCGACCTGGATCCATGCCCTTGGCAGCAGCCTGGGTGCAACCACCAGGAGAAGACCCCCTTTGTGCCCACGCCAGCCTCCGTCCCCAGCGTCACCCGTGCCCCACGGACATCCAGCCCCGCAGCACCCCATGCTTGGCGGGCCCCCTCGCCCAGCACGGCTGTGACCCGGGGGTGGCAGGGAGCCGGTGGGGAGTGGACCACAGACCTCACCAGGAACGCCCACATCTCATGTCACATCACGGCGAGGCGAGAAGTGCCGCCTTCCCTGTCGTGTCATTGTCACAGCGGGGGGCGGGGGAGGTGCGAAAAAAGGGCATTTCGGCATCTACTGACCTGCGCCGGGTTCGGATGACCAAGGGACGAGTCCCCTCTCCGCTTACTGAGGCTCTGAGCCATCTACATCCCATCTCACCGGGGTTTTGGGCAACCAAAAAAATAAAAAAAGGACCAAACCCGATCCCCTACCGCTAGCTACGGCGTTTCTGCCGAGGGGTCAGGATGAAACCCTTCCAAAAAAAAAAAAAAAAAAAAAGGCAAGAAGAAGGATGCCAAATCAGGGCAGGCCGACGAGTCTGCTGCTGCTCTGGCTAAAAAAAGCAGGAAACCATATCCCGGGCTTGGAGATGCCAATCTTCCCATGCAAACAACTCCCTCCTTGTTTTTTTTGGAGAGTACCGGCAGGCTCGGGAACGGGCGGTCACAAATAGCAACTCCACGGCACCGCCAAGGAAACCTTCTCCAGCCCCAGGAACCGCGTGGGGACACTGATGTTCCCCACGTGGGGATAGTGGCTCCTCAAGGGGGGACCCGGTGGTGGTTGTCCCCACATCGGGATGGTGGCTTCTCCGGAGGGGACCTGGTGGTGGCCATTCCCATGTTCGGATGGTGGTTTCTCTGGAGGGGACCTGGTGGTAACCGTCCCCATTTCAGGATGGTGGCTTCTCCGGTGGGGACCTGATGGTAGCCGTGCCCCCATCGCGATGGTCGCTCCTCTGGAGGGGAGCTGGTGGTGGCCATCCCCACATTGGGACGGTGGCTTCTCCAGATGGGACCTGGTGGTGGCCGTCCCCATGTCAGCATAGTGTCTCTGCCAGGGGGGACCCGGTGGTGGCCGTCCCCACATCGGGGTGGTGACTCTCCAGGGGGGCGCCGGGGATGGCCGG